CTTTATTTATTATTTTATTTAATTAATTAATTAATTAATTTTTTCGGTTGTGGGCCTGAACTCTGGGCCTGGGCACTGTCTCTCAGCTCTTCAGTTCAAGGTTAGCCCTCTACCATTTGAGCCACAGCACCACTTCTGGCTTTTTCTGCTTATGTGGTGCTGAAGAATCCAACCCAGGGCCTCATGCATGCAAGGCAAGCGCTCTACCACTGAGCCACCTTCCCAGCCCCAGGACTGTTTAAATCTTATTGAGCTTTAAGTGTGAGAGTTTATTACCTTGACTGGTAGAAGAACATAAATGTCATTTGCATTTCTGTGAAACATCTTCGTATGTTCAAGACATGTTTTAAAATGCCAGTTACACAGACACTAAGGTTAATGTTTGGTATATTTACTGAAATAAGATGTTTTCTAATAATTCTGGTGCCCATAATTCTTCTGTGAAAGGACATAATGATTATTGAATGCTTCTTCTATTTGTGATGTGTCCAAACTGACTGTGGGCAGTGTATTTTTGTTGTTGTTGTTGTTGGTCATGGGGCTTGAACTCTGGGCCTGGGCACTGTCCCTCAGCTCTTCAGCTCAAGGTGAGCGCTCTACCGCTTGAGCCACAGCGCCACTTCCAGTATTCTAGTGGTTTATTGGAGATAAGAGTCTCACGGACTTTCCTGCCCGGGCTGGCTTTGAACCATGATCCTCAGATGTCAGCCTCCTGAGTATCTAGGATTACAGGCGTGAGCCACTGGCGCCCGGATCAATGTATTTTTGAAGTATGCACAGATTAAAGCATGTACTCCTGTTGCAGTCCTTGAGATATACTGCATATAGTTGGGTGATGGTCATAAGTGATATTAGTACTTGTATTGGTTAGAACAGTGTTAGTGTAAAAAAAAATCCCACCTTTTGTTTATGTCATTTATTTGTTCCATATTTTTGGCACAAGAGTTTAAATGCAGGGCTTCATGCTTGCTATGCAGGTACTCTTCTACTTGAGCCACATACTCCTTACTCTTTTTTGCTTTAATTTTTTGTTATTGTTTTTTCCAAATAGAGGCTTACATTTATGCCTGGACTAACCTGGGATTACAGGGATGAGCCACAGTACCTGGCCCTTTATTTTATTTCTTGGTAGAGAGTCACTCTGTATCCTAGGCTAACCTATTCTGCCTCAGTTCCAGGGTGCTGAGATTGTGGTTGTGCACTACTACACTGGCTTCATGATAACCTGTTTTTATTGAGGAGAAAATACCTCTTATTGTATGTAACCTTTGTTGTTTCCTAGTCAGCGTGTGCCAGGACTTCTTGGTTCCCTAGGTTCCCTAACCTTTGCCCAAACTTTCTAAAACTCCATACTCACCTCCTCCCCCACTCCTCCTGCTTTTTCTGTGCTTGAACTCAGGGCCTGGGTGTTGCCCTGCTCTTATCACTTGAGTTGTAGCTCCACTTCCAGCTTTTTGGTCCAACTTCTTGATTCTGAATCAGATTTCCAGAAGGTGAGTCCTAAGAATGTGCAAGCTCACCGGGTGCCGGTGGTTGACACCTGTAATCCTGAGATCTGAGGATCGAGGTTCAAAGCCAGCCCAGGCAGGAAAGACTGTGAGACTCCTATCTCCAATAAACCACCAGAAAACCGGAAGTGGTGCTGTAGCTCAAGTGGTAGAGTGCTGGCCTTGAGCTGACTAGCTGAGGGACAGTGCCCAGGCCCAGAGTTCAAGCCCCACAACCAACCGAAAAAAGAAAAAAAGAATGTGCAATCTCACTTAGTAATTCCCACCCTAATCTGTCTGGTGATGGTAGAAGTGTTTTCTAGTATTAGGATTGTGCTACCATGAATGTTCTTGGACATTTTCTCATTTTGTTTTGGGGGGAAATGTCATCATTTAACCTAATTTATGGGAGCCAGATCAATTAGATTATTAGAATTTTTATGTTTGTTAGGGTCTGTGGACATTGTATAGATGGTACTTGTATCAGGCTTTTGTTCAATTCATTTAAAAAGTACCCACTCCTCCCAGTGCCAGGCCCAGGTGCTTGCCAGTCTGGGCTAGTTTCAGCTCCTCTTTGCCCTGTTCCACGGGACCCACTCAACACACGTCAAAATTTTTGCTGATTGTGTCACATGACTGTTAACTTTTTTTTTTTTGTCAGTCATGGGGCTTGAACTCAGGGTCTGGGTGCTAGCCCTGAGTTCTTTTTTTCTTAAGGCTAGTGCTCTACCACTTTGAGCCAAAGCATCACTTCCAGTTTTCTGGGTTAGTTTGAGATCAGAATTGCATAGACTTTCCTTCCCAGGCTGGCTTTGAACTGGGATCCTCAGATCTCAGCCTCCTGAGTAGGATTACAGGTGTGAGCCACCAGTGTCTGGCAAATTTAACTTTTCATAATATGACAAATACATTGCTGTTTATTCTATTTGTAGAAAACCTTACATGATAACCAGGACTTGGGTCAACCGGTTGACTTCTAAAGATGTGTAGGTTCAAATCGTGGATACTCACAAATTACTTTTGAAAAAACTGCTCAGTTCATAATTTGTTACTATTAAAAGGTCTACACTGTAGTCATCACTTGTATATATTTGGTTAGACATGAGATCTACTGATATCTGATGTTTTAGGTGAGTGGCTTCTTAAAACTGTAAGTACAAGTTTATTCTGGCACCTTCTGCCCCATAAGTTCTGCAGTCTCTCAGACTTTCCCCGATCTTATCAGTCCAGGGGAAAGTCTGAGATTCAGTCAGGCTTGTAGGCTGTAAGTTCCTGAGGGAGTGACCAGAGCTGTTAACTTTGTCTTCCTTGCATGGGACAAAAGGCACTGTTGACTTGAACAGTCTCTTTGTGTTCAGGAGATATTTTCAAACCATTTCTTAATGAGTGGAAACTAAGTAATAAAATGCCTACTGGAGTAAGTCTGCTGCTAACACTAATTAATTTTGTTTCTCAAGCCAGGTCTTCTGGCATGCTTGCTTCATATATGTAAGGATGCCTTTTAAGTGGAAGGGCAGCAGAAAGGCGAATGAGCCAGAAGAACAGTATGTACAGA